CCCGGGGCTGATGCCCCAGGGCCACCCCCCAGCCCTGTCCCCCTCACCCACCGGGCCTCCCCCTATCCCTGCTCAACCCCTGGCTAAAGGGCTGGCTCTGCCCTGCTCAGCACCAGCCAGGCAGCTGAAACTCAGTGAAACCGTGTCTTTCCTAGTAAAATAAGTGTGATTTGGGGATGTAGGTTTGGAGGCCCTAATGAAAAGTTGCTCTGCAGGGCTGGCTCTGAGGTTTTCACCGCCGTGAGCTGGCTGAACCGACCGGAGGAGGCTCGAGCAAATGGCGGCACCTTCATTACCCAAAGCATCCCAGGAAAGGACTGAGGACATGTCCACGGCTGCAGGCTCGGCCACAGCCCTGCAAAGCCGGGAATCCTTGCAAACCCAGACGGTGCCTGAGCTGAGATGGCTCACGCCAGGCTGTTGAGGGACAAAGGCAGATGCACCCACCCTGGTCCTCAAACACCCCCCCAGCTGCCTGTTTCTGGGAGTAGCGACATGTCGGGCACTGCGGGACCAGTTCCTGCGGGGCGATGCTGTACCCGGCTGGTGCAGAGCCGTCCGTGCTGCTCCTGCAGTCCCGGGGGAGCCTCTCCCTCCCTTAGCACGTTCCCGGGACACCTTGGAGCGTGCTGGTCTGGGCAGCCCCAGGGTTTAAACTCCCCCAGGCCAAGCACTAGCCAAAACCTCCCACCTCCAGCCACAGCACCTGTAGGGCGGGCAGGGAGCACCTTTACCCCGTCTGATTGTATACCTGGTAAAAGAAGAGACCCTCTGTTGTTATTTAAAAGCCCCTAACACCACCAAATCCAGGAGCACTTCCCTGCAGCTATTTAAAGGTTTAAACCCGAGGGAAGCAGTTAAGACCAGGTCCTCTTGCACAAGGGGTTTAAATATTTGAACCAAGCTTAGTGATACCTCTTAGGGACAAACACTAAGCTGTTTTCTGAATACCTACTATCCTAAATACTTCTGCAAACATAGCCCTTAACACTGAGCATTACAAGCTGCTCCCATAGCTGCTCCCGCTGGGCTCAGCCCCCCCAGACCCATCCCTGCCAGCCCAGGGCTCTGCCTGCCTTAGGGGCCAGCGAGGCTGGCTGCAGTTTGCTGCTGCCATGCTACAGCAAGCAGCAGTTTTTGCTCCTCTCCCCTTCAGAGGGCTCAGCTACCACCTCTCATTTCTGATTTCAACGCTCTCCTTCCCTCTTGTGGACAGGAAAGCTCAAAGAGGAAAAAGAAAACCCAAGTCCTCAAGCCGCAGTTTTCCGTTGCAAATCTTTTAAGCCATTTCTGTCTGCTCTGGGTTTCCACCACGTCTCCCAGAGATCCATTCCCCATCTAAACCAAACCGTGTTTCAGGATGACACTTGATCAATGTCAATTGGCGCATGTTTTACCAATGACTGCTCCTCTCATGGCTGTAGTGGCTCAGACAGACTTGGATTAGGTTGGCACTGCAGCACCCGTGTGCAAATGCCAATGCAAACACAAGCATGTCGCATCATACCAAGGGACTCGCTCCAATGGCAGAACTGCCGTCGGGTTTAGCACAGGCACGTTCTGCCGCGCCGCCTTCCTCATATGCTGGCACGAAGCTTTGCTGCTCCTCTGGAGTCTGTAAGCGGGAGGATAAAACTCAGCTGCTGGCTCGGTGCGTGGATTCCTGCCGCAGGGCTGGCTCTCCTCCTCCCCCAGGGCAGAGGGAGAGGAGACAACACAAACCTGCGGCACCGCATCGAGCAGAGCCTCTGGTGAGAGCCTTGCAGCGAGGCGGTGGGTCTGAGCTGCCTTTGGTAATGCAGGGAGAGCTGTGGAGAATAAATCCACAGAGGGTTACCAGCTCCAGAGATTCACGCCATGCACAGACCATCCCCGTGCCACCCACCCCTGCAGCCTGGAAGGGTTGGTAGCCTTACTCCGTGCCTTTTCCTTTTGCTTTCGGGCACCCTTGGAGGCCAGATCCCCAGCCTGCCGCACCCCTGCCCAAATAACCCATCTACGTCTCAGGCCAGGAATTTATTTTGCAGTTTCTGGATGGGGGGATCCTGCTACTGGTCTTTGCGTTACAAGGCTGCGGGTTGTGAGTTGCACTGCTGTTTGGGAAGAAACTGGGTGTTTCCTTCATCTTTTTTAATAGTCTCTCCGCAGTGTGAGGGTAGACCTGGCCTCTCTGCGAGCTGACCGCAGCTCAAGGGAGACCGAAGACACCACCAGTATCAATAAACCCAAATGCCAGTGCCCTGCTGTGGGTGTCTGAGGGCACAGGGAGCTCGGGCAGCTCCCGAACGGTGAAAGCTCCCTGGGGCTGGGTTTTCCCCATGAGCCTTGCAACCTCCACGGCTGTGGCTGAGGATGCGGCGCAGCCCTCGCCGAGGGCAGGAGCGACTCCCTGAGGGCGTGCGGCCAGTCTGGGATCAGGAGAGGAAGGCAGAGCTGCGCTGCTGTGTGTCAGCACCTCCTTGTGCCCTGCGGGATGGCCGGCTTTCCTCTGCGCTGCTCCTAATTTCCTGCTTTTCCCTGTGAGATAGAGTCAGGAACAGAGCAGCCTCACCCCAAAGCGGTGTGTTCGCTTCCCCACGTACCTCGTCTGCGCAGCTGAATGGGAGCCGGTTTGGTGGGGCTGCTCGTGGGCTGCCGAGGGTGAAAAGGGCTCCGTATCCTGTGGCGGCAATGTCACAGGGCTGTGACTGTCCCCTGACCCTCCCAGCACTGCCAGCAGGCTTAGATCTGAATGTCCATTAAGACAACTGAGAAGCTGTAGAGTGGGTTAGTTATAAGAGTAATTGATACATTAAATATTTCTCTCTCCACAGGAACAAAGCGAGGCAGCGTGGGGGCCAAATGAAGTGTCCTTAGAGAGCTGATTGCACCGACCAGTCCTGAGACTTCCATCTGTGAATGCTCTGAAGGAACAAAACAGGCAATTTTGCAGGCAGGAAAAGAAGACGGATACGAAAAGGATTTGTTCTTGCTGCAGTGAATTACCCTGATCACCCACCCCTGGGGAGAAATACAGATTCTCCTGCAAACCTGAGCTCACCTCTGGGTGTTTTGGTGCAAGGATTTAGCTCTGTGCTGGACAATTTGGACACATTTGCAGTCTGAGAGGACCCCCGTTCCTAAAAAAGCAACCCCACAACCCCTGGGGTTAGACGAGCCCTCTCCCAGTGACCGCTACAGGGGTGAGCGATAAGGAAAACCACCCGGACACCCCATTTTGGGTGTCCAGCTCCCTTTGGGGTGTCCAGCCCGGCTACCCCAACCCCTCCCCAGGGCATCGCGGCACCGAAGAACATTTTGCCCTGCCGGATTTTTTCCCCTCCCGGAGCGAACCGGCCCCGGCCCGAGCCCCTCTGCCCGCCCCTGCCGGGGGTGGGCGGGTGTGTGTGGGGGGGGTCCTGCGGCCACCG